GAAACTCCGGCCGGGGAGAGGTCGGAGAACGCTGACCTCCATGGACATTCTAAATGCTTTTTCTCCAAATTTCTTTGCTTCTTTTGCATTTTATTGCATTTTAATACGTAATGTTGCAATAACTTTTCGTTGAAACTTTTCATACATTATTAAACAAGATTTCACACAAGTATCTCATCACATCACACATCACATTCTTATGAGTTAAAACCCATATTTACCTTATATGGGACCTTTAAAACGTTGTGAGGTTTTGGGTTTATCAAAGGGATATACTCGCTTTATGATCGATTATCGTTACGGTTGAATGGCTAATCATAATGAGTGATGGGACACGATGTCGCGTAGTGTCCTTTCTTCCCACAAGTGAAGCAAGTGATGTAGTCAGGTATAGGCCGTGACCGTCCAATGTTAGGACATGCTTGAAAATAATGGCCTTGACGGCCACATCTAGAGCATTCTGGCATGGTTGTTTATATACCAGCCCTTCCACCACGTCGGCCAAAGGTCTGTCCTTGACCCCGGCCTTGTCCTAGGTTCAAATTTTGTCTTATCCTTCCCGGTCTAGCCACTTGATTGACTGGCCCCGACTGTTATACTTGCTCTTGTGGTGCTTGCTGCTGGTCCCCTAACCGGCTAGCAATCTCACGAACCAAATCCCTAAAATGATCCTCTGTGCTTCTCGGCTCAGGTCTAGTCGGACTAGCTCTAGGAAGATCAGGAAAGTCCCGATAAACTCGATGATCCTCCTCCGATTCTTCGGGGTTCTCGACATGTCCATGGTAACAAACTGATGGGCTTCCTGATGATAGATAAATCTCGTAACCCGACCTACTAGGTCCTCCATAACTAGAATTCTGTCGATGATACATCCCTATTTGCCAAGACTCACTTGACTCTAGCGACTCGGGAGATAACTGTCCTAACTCCGGTGTCGAATGGGGAGAGTTCTCTTCCGTATACTCTGGAAAATGCTCTAACTCTTCTAATGAATCCTCAGATGGATCAGATTCTATGGAACTACAGTCGTCATCAGATGGTGGTGGAGGACGACCATAATAACGCTCTGGTGGTCGGTAATCAGGCTGTCCGTGCCCTCGAGGTGGTCCCCATGGGCTTCCCCCTCTCATAGGCCTCGGCAGCCCTGCGTGAATACGTTGACGTCGTGGATGAAGTCGACGCGGTGGAGATCTCATATCTACTGTACCAAAGAATCAGGTAAGTCCTAACCCATCTTAAATATATAAGTAGCACTGGAACATAATCAATTTATTCTACTTGCTTTTTGCGACATTCTGACTCGATCGTGGGCAATGCTCGTGGGCAATGCTCTGATACCACTCTTGTAACGTCCCCGATCCGGATTTGGTCAACGTTGACCCGACTGGCCGCGCAACAATAAACGAGAACACGCGCAACCAACGGTAGACCCAAATACCAGACCAAAGACGCTACAAATGCGCACTTAGCCGTTTATTCCAAGGTTAAAAAAAACACATTTAAGAGCCCTAGACTATATGTCCAAGCACGCAGTTCCTATCGATCACAACCCAAGACTTTTTAACCCGAGTTATGAGCAATAGTTGGTTCATTCTGGACTAGGACTAGTATCATATGAAACCAGAGTTATTTAAAAACATACTCTTATATATCTTTTTACATAGTTTCAAATGCTATCACAAATATACACGAGCCTGAGTCTAACGCTCAAAACATTCGTATACATATTAAATGTTAATGTTTTACAAAAGTAAGACAATCTACCACTGATTTTCCTAACGTTCCTTCTGTGCACCCAAGTGATCTAACCGCTAAGGTTACCTGCAAAAAAAATTGGAGTCATGAGCACTAGTTGCCCATTCAGTCTAGGGTTCTCCAAAACGTTTAATAATCGTTCCCACCAAACCCAAAATAACAATCACACACAAGTATGCATAATAAACGTGGTAAGTTATGCGTTAATGATAATTTTTCCATAAGGCCTATCACAGTGACTATTCCCTCTACCATCAAAAGGCATCCCTCAGACCAGACCACACAGGCTAAGGCCTTAGGATCCTTTTGCTTCCGGCGACCAAATCTTTATGGAGCTGCACGGAACCGTTCCGGCGACCAAATCTTTATGGAACCGCATGGAACCCTTGCATCGTCATGCAACACACGGTCCTAGGATGCAATCCCGTTTTTCCGTGTCTTCGTGACTTAACCAAAATCTTTATTGGCTAAATCACGGATCAAGGGAATAAAGCGTATTTATTCATATGTTTAAGATTTAACATTCTTTCATCTTCAACATTTTCACGCTTATGTTTCACACAAGTAAAGCACTTAAGCAATTTTAACAGCTGTAAACATTTCGCAGCAAAGAACCTCAACGATCATAAACATAACAATCAACAAGCAATCACGTGTGTTCTACTCATCTAACACACGGCCAAAACAACACCCAAGACTCACCTTTTACTTAGGGAGTGCTCGTGATTTGCCTTAGACTTTCTCTAGATCAAAACGGATCTTTGTCTCGGACTTTCCTCTAAATTTCTCGGACTTAGCCGATTTTGGTCCCTAAGTTTTCAGAGAATGGTCCTAGAGAATGGACGGATCTCAACGGACTGATGGAACGGACGATTGGGCTTAAGATGTGGACTGATCGGATGGAAATGATCAAAACCGAATGATCGGGATAGAATGATCAGATCAGAATGATCGGGTCAGAGTCGCATGGACTGGGTAAAAGTTTGCGGTGAAAACGAAATTATGATCGGACAAGGGAAGAAATTTCGTGTGTCCTACTTACTGGGTCGAGCCGGCCTTTATATAGGCGCGGGTAAGCAGGTGAAGCAGCTGGACAGCTCGCGCCAGCAAGCCCTTCTTCACCCGCGGGTAACGTCCTAGGCGCGACACGTGGCACTAGATATTTCTCACAAAAGACAAGGCTCAGACACGACAAGGACACGTCCTAGTTAGACGTTTCTTCGGCTGAGGGTAAGGTTCTCAACAGAAACACGTCCTACTTGGACGTTTCTACGGCCATGGGTAAGGTCGTGACTCACTAAGCAAGCAGACACCACTGCTTAGTCCCCAAGCAACTAAGCACACAGCTTAGTCACTGAGGTGCTTGGGAAGGATTCTCGACCAAACGGTCCGCGTTTGATCCGACCTTCCCGCGGGGTTTTCCCTTGGCCGGCCTAGGCCAAGGTACGGGTCATTACACAAGGTCTTTACCTCATCTCTAGTCCCCACCCCGGCATAGTTTCTGTTATTAACGAATTCGGGTCTCAGTGGAAAGAACCATGGGCTTATCACAGGTTCTGTGTTGAACATGTGTGCTCCCAATTCAATAGCGTTTTTGGATGCGGCGCCTACGGGGTGGAGGATCTTGTAAGGCTGGCTGGGTCATCGAGTCGGAAGGAAACATTTGATTCATTCATGAAGGCGATAGAAGCGAAGAACCCAAAAGCTCGGAAATGGTTAGACTAGTTCCCTCCACATCAGTGGACTCTGGCTCATGACAGTAGTGGTCTGAGATACGGAATCATAAAGATAAATAAAAAAGCTCTGTTTGCAGTTTTAGAGGCTTTTCGAAAGTCGCAATGACAGGGGGTGTGGTGATTCTATTTGGTGAGCTGAGAGACGCTTTTGACAAGTCTTTTAGCTGTAGCCGTGGTTCTCATAACCGCGGTGATGTGTTCACAAAAGTTGTCATGGACAAGCTTGAAGAGTTCATCAGCATGCCTAGAAAGAATACCAAGTTAAGGCCTATCTGGAAGACAGTTTCTGCTCCTACTTACGTTATAACGCCGTTAGAAGGAAATGCATTTCAGGTCTCAGAGTCCTCAAAGAAGAAGGAATGGATTGTTCAGCTGAATGACTCAACTTGCACGTTTGGGAAGTTTCAAAGCAAGAAAAATCCATGTCCTCACGCTCTAGCAGTTTGTGAGAAACTCAGAATCAATCCCTTGCAGTATGTGGACGACTGTTACACTCTTGAACGCAATTACAAAACTTATTAGGCTACGTTTTCTCCTGTCCCAGAGCTATCAGCTTGGCCAGAAGCTACCGGAGTTCCGACACTGTTTCCTCCACCTCCTAAATCATCAGGTATGTCCCAACGCAAAATAAATCCTGTAAGAAGAATAGCTGAAAGTTGAACAGTTTTTGAATCAAAGTGGACTTAGGATTATGCGTGGTTTATGTAAATATATAATCTTTTGACTTCTTGGAAGTAGGATTAAACAGGTTTAGTTTTATATATTGTATTTGTAGCATTGTAAAGATTTCTGCTTTTGTATGTGAAAGATGGATCTGGTTGTTAATTATATTCTCGGCGAGCCCGAGTTTTGTTGCAGTCTCTTATTTTTCTGAGTTTTTTTTTTTGTGA